TGATGTGGCTAATAGGCAGGAAATGATGAGGAATCTCCACAACACTCCCTATCTCCCTACTCTATGCAAAAACAAAAAAGGTTTTGGCTTTAGTTCTACTTTAATCCCAATCTTATTTTTAGCAATTGTAATAGTAATAAACAAAGTGACCTCCTAAGTGGTGAGAGAGATTGTACATGCATATATTTTAGCACACTCAACTGTAATTTACTAAAGGAGTAAAGCATGTTCACTTTGCAAGGGGATTTTGACTTAGCTAAGCGAAGTGTCACTTGATCGCTTGTGATCTGTGTGCTTGTGATCGCTGATGTGCTTGTGATCGCTTGATCACAGGCACGGAAAATTTAAAAAATAGCACTTTTGCTTGCACGATTGGATAATAGACATCAGCAGAGCTTAATGAGAGAGGTGAAGTGATAATTCCCTTGCAAAAGTGAGCATGCTTTACTCCTTTACTAAATCAACCCCCAAGCCTCTTATAGCCATATATCTGAAGGATATTGTTTTGGCCAAAGAAACCAGATTCTCCAGTACAGACTCAGCTGCAGTATCAGAGAATTACTAATTAATAGTCTAATTGGTTCCTGCCGTGGTTTTGATAAATTATACAGTGTGCTGCCTGAAGTGTAATACAGTACACCCCAAGGACACTTACAGGAGATGCTTCAAATGTATCTCACATTATGTACAAACCTTTTAGGAAAAAAAATTGTAAGAGCAACAGATAAGAATTCTGGGAAAGCCTCAACAAAATACTGTTTTTTTTTGCCATGTCTGGATAGGCAGCAGTAGAGAAATCGGAAATCGCAACATTAAATTATAATGGATTGTGAAGTTATTATACATGTTATTTTTTGTTAGTCAATGGTCCTTTTTGCACCGGCTGTAAACACATACATAGATATGTTGCTTTGTCGCTGAAAGCTATAGAAAAATTAGTCCTATATTTTTTTTGCTAGAGATTTGCATCAAAGTAATTTAATGTAGCATCACAATAAATAAAACTGAGCTACTGGGAGACCTTCCTGCACAGGTGTTAATTAGAAAAGGCCTAGTAACATTGCAATTAAGGATAATGATACCGGATGTGTCCTTGCTGATCTCCACGAAAAGGTTTAAATAATAAGCAGACTGAACAGCCTCCTCCTCCGATATGTCCTCTGGTTGGAACACAAAGCACAAGGATAGAACTCGAACAAATACACAGTTGCCACCCCATGCACATTGATACACTTTGTCAGAGGCTATTACGTGATTATATAAGTGATTTATTGTGTATCTAAACTCAATAAAAATTTAAAATTATTGCCTATTACCATCATTGTGGTGGCTGCATTATTTTATTTTTTTATGGCTTTTTCCCCCTTAATTTTAGAAAGTATCACACTTCCTGTTCTAGGATGACCACACTGCACTGTATGGAAGAGCAGCGTTGCAATCCTAAACTGTTGATTTGGATTGCAAAAACCTCCCCTTTCCATCATCTCCATAAGATGTGGGGAGTGTTCTGTACTCCCCAGGAAGGCTTTTTTCCCCTAATTTTATGAAGTAACAGACTTTCTGTCCTAGGATGACAATGCTCTAGTCACTTCACTGTTTCAATGCAACATGAGTAAAAACCGATATTACTGACCAACTTCTGAAAAGACTAATCATTGTTTTACAAGAAATAAAGGTTCTTTTGTGCAGAGTGATTAACACAGCACAGGTAAAAGAATTAACAGCAATGCCCATTTTATACAGTTACTATAGTCATGCTTTAAAGCCAGAAAAGAGATTTTATTGAAGCACTCACGTAAATCAAAGTGGCGGCCTCAAGAGCGTACTCTTTGAAATCCATTATTGATCAGGCTTCTCATTAGGTAAATCATTTACAGTGAATTGGACACACTATTAAGTGTAATAGTCGCTGACATTTAAAGCTGAATTCCGACAAACACTTACCAGGTACCCGAGATCTAAATGAGCACTTAGACCCTTGCTGTGCAGGGGCAGCCCCACTGCAAGGATTAAATGCCCATGTACACCTAGGGTACCTGAGAAAAAGATTTTTGCTGACCTGATCCCCCACTCCCATAGGCTCACTCTCAGGCTAAAAGACTGGCACACGCAACCTCTTCAACACCCCCTCTTCTCCCCCCAGTGGTCGGAGGCCCGCTGATGTAATCAAGTACAGTTCAGGGCTGATACCCTTGCATTATATGCAAGGACGCCAAGGGACAGTCCACAAGCCAGAGCATAGGTGAGACGAGGCAAGCGCTGACTGCATAAGGTATCAGGTAAGTAAAAGTGCTATTCTCAATACCCTAGAGCAGGGGTAGGCAATTTTTGGCCCTCCAGCTGTTGTGCAACTACAAATCCCATTATTATTATTACGGATTTATATAGTGCCAACAGCCTGCACAGCACTTTACAATATAAGGAGGACATTACAGTTACAATACTAATCAAGACAAAATGGTAAGGAGGGCCCTGCCTGTTGGAGCTTACAATCTAAAAGGCATTGCAAGACTGATAGCCACAGGCATCACTTCCAGAGGCAAATGCATTATGGGATTTGTAGTTTCACCACAGCTGAAGGCCTGGAGTTTGCCTACTTCTGCCCTAGACCTAACCGACCATTTAACCCTTGCAGTGTGGGGACGGCCTCAGTGCAAGGTGGCCCCCCCAGAGATGGGATTTAAATGGGCTGTGCCAGGTATTCAATGCACAATGCAGGCACAACCACTGGGCTAAATTAATCTCCATTTAACAGCATATCACCACGTGACGTATACATTGTTGTTCCATTCTAAATGAAGATAACATTAAAACAGGTTATTTATGCATTTGGTATACCATTCAAGGGTCAGTGAGGTATTTAAGGCCTCAAAAAACTGGTCGTACTAAAGGTCCTGCTCACTCATTACCACAATGCACAGTAACACGAGTTGGTGTGATTTGGTGCTATTCATTTTGAATAGCACCCGAATATACCTTCTCTATGCACTTGTAATGCAGTGCATGGCACCACACTAACATGCATTGCCATGCTCAACACTGCCAAAATGCTGCATGCACCATTGTTGAGTTAGGGGGTGTCCTATTTATAAGGCAGTGCAACATTGTGAAATGTTTGTTCAAAAATGTATGTATGGCCCAAACTTTTTAGATAGAGAAGGGAAAAGGTTCAAAACCATCTTTACTAGGGATGCACCGATATATCGGCCGAAAATTGCACTTTTGGCATAATGCCGAAAGTGCCATTTTCTAGCAGATACAGCGGTGCATCCGTTCTTTCTCTCCTCCCCACTGGGCGCTGCTCTGTGTCCCAGGGGGGAGGAGAAACGGTCACAGGCAGCCGGGCACTGCGGGAGAACGCTGTGAGTGCCAGGCGTCTCTCCTCCCACACTGCTCAGCCTCCTGTCACAGATCAGAGTAGAGCAGTGTGGGGGTGGAGACAGCATGCAGTGCTGTCACAGGAGGCTGAGCTCTCCTCCCTGCACCGCTCGCTCAGCCTCCTGTGACAGCGTGTCAGGAAGGAGAGCGAGTACAAACACTCAGTGATCGCTGAGTGTTTGTATATAATTGAGGAGATGGTATGTTTACTATATCCTCAATTATGAATGGGAAGTGATTTACATCACCTCCTGTTCATTCATAGTTGTGGTTATAGTAAACATACTCTGTTCTCATGTTATGAATGAACAGGAACACTCATAGAGGATTCCTGTTCATTTATAACAGGGGCTGCAGAAAAAGAGATTGAGGACTCTGTGTTCTCAATCTCTTTTTGTATTTTATAAAAAACACATAGGGATACATTTTGAGTGCAGGAGCGTACGGATCAGGTCAGCACAGAAAACGGGCGTCGTGTGAACAGGCACTAAAAGTAAAGTAAAAAATATTTAATACAAAATTAATACAAATATTTAAAAAATTAAAACGTTTATAAAAAAATGTGAAAAAGTTCAAATAAAAAACATTTTCGGTCTGACATTTTTTGTTTAATTTTGGTTTTGCTTCTGAAATTTTCATCTCTGTGCACCCCTAATCTTTACCTAATTTTTTTTACCGAGATGAAACAGGAAGTGAAAGCAATTCCCCTCCCTTCTTGTTGTTAACTGACTTTTTTTTTTTTAAACTTCCTTTGTGCTGCTGCATTTGGTTAAAGTAGCCTGTGCTAGCAGCATGGTAGAGTCAGACCGCTGCTTAACAAAGTGTAGCAGTCCGGGCCTAAAGAGTTCAACCCCCCCCCCCCAACACACATTCCAAGCTGGAGGAAACGTGGAACTACCATAAGGCATTGCAAGACTGACAGCCACAGGCATGAATTCCAGAGGCAGATACATGATGGAATTTGTTGTTTCACCACAGCTGGAAGGCCGACGTAGGCTACTCCTGGTTTGGATGGTAGGTCTGCTGTCATTAAGGAGGTACTCCTGCCATATACATAAGGAAAACAAACACAGATGTTTGTTATTGAACACTATTTTTTGTGTGGAGTTTTCCTTTACACAAGATGGGTTCCTTGTAAACAAAGGACAACAAATTTGAGAAAATGGCTTTATTATAACAGTGTGGAGAGGTGTGAACGTCTCCAACATTGCAGCACTGATCAGTTTTTTGTTAACAAACAAGCCTTATCTCCCAGAAGAAACATTAAAAAATACAATAAAAGACTATATACACAAGTGACATTGATTGCTACATATAAGAAAAATAATATGTGGTCGTAGGAAATGACATTTACATTTAATTGTCCAGTGCTTTGGGTAGATTTTGGTCAATATCCAAGTCCAATATTAAGGCAAATCTCTTTTTTGGAGTATTCATTCATTTTGTATTCAGTAGCGAAAACAATAAAACATTTTATTTGCAGATTTGGTTTCTGGAAAAGTCGGAAAATAAACTGTTCACACTTTTTTATGCTTTCACGCCTTCTGTGGCCAACTACACGTCCTCAGTGTATGCTCAGGCCTGTGATACAGTTCACCCAGCTCATATTTAGCTTGGTTGCATCTTGTAACTGGGTCATCCCGTACAAAATATCCATCTTCCCCGCACCAAGACTGAAGTCATCTTCAAGAGAGGATTGTCCACATCTATAATTTTTCATGAATACCTTCAAGTAAATGCCAATGGAGACAGGACCAGGCCAAAGTGAAGAACAAGCAAACCATCCTGTAGGGATAATGAAGGCATTATGTTGTAGGTCATGGTTTGCATTTAGACTGCAACCAATATGTCTTTAAGAAACTTATCAGGCCTATTTGGTAAAGCAGTTCAAACAAACTGTGCCATGCAAAGCACAGCAAACCATGACCAACACATTTTAGTTAACGATTAGGTGCACTTTGTTTAAGAGAGTCTAGCAGCTTGTCTTCATGCTAAAATCATATTACCACATTGTTTTATATGTAAATTGCAATTATATAGCATTGCATGTTTTATGTAAGCAGACCCTACATGATCATTTGTAAACCCCACCTCCCAGAATGCATTTGTCTCGTCTAATAAAATGTATGGCAAGCAGTACCATGTATTTCTTTAGGCAAACCTTTGTTTCATTCTCCTCTATTGGCTACAGTATAATAGCATTTGTACAATAATAACAATAAAAAAAGAATCTCCAACTTACTCACATGGGAGGAGGGTACTTTAAATTTAATTTGCGTCTTGGTTTGTTAACACCCATGGAAGAGCCATAAGCTCTGTTAAACCTTAGCATCTTTCCTAAAAACTCAGCACAGGTGGTTTCAGAGAAGGTCTATCTAAGATACTCCCCTAAAAAATAATAGGAGGTACCCTGAACCCTTCATAAGATGTTCTCCAAGTATTCCCGGCAACATACTGGGGCTTCCAAACAACACATTTTCTGTGAATGTCCTAGGCTTACACTATTTTGGTAGTGAAAGCTATTATGGTCAAGCTTACAGATGTAAACCCTGGGAAGATCCCAGCAGCTTTCCTCCTCCACTGGACTCCTGATGCAGAAAACATTACAACTCCCTACTGATCAATGCAGCAAAGTTATTTATCCCACTTTGATGGAGAACCACTGCTTTCCCTTTTTAGACCCCATTCACACTAAGCGACATACCTTTTGCAGCGGATCCGCGTGGCTGGGATATCGCGACTTTCGAGGCGATGTTTAAGCGACGGTAGTGCGACCTTCACCGGCGGGGGCTCCATTAAAAAAATAGAAAAATCACGCAAAAAGGGTCCTGTTAGAGCGACATGGAGCTAAGACAGCTCCATTGAATAGCATTGACCGGCGACTTCTCGCACAGCAAAAATGCGCGATATCGCGGCGGAAATCACTTAGTGGGAATGGGGCCTTGGTTTCTGGTGTGCCAACATTACCTCAAAACTCTATGGCTGTTAAGAGCCACACAGAGTAACAATTTTGGATTTACTGGTTTGACATTGTGTGCTGCACTGAAAATCACCGAACCCTATGCAACATATGGCTTACTTACCCTGACTTTATATTCTTCGGACAAGATTGTTCTCTTACGTAACGCAAATCCAGTTTAGATATGTCAAGTGGGTGCAGAGATAGGATAAAGTACTCTCTCTCTAGTAGCTACCATATCTCTCCCTCCCCTCTACTTTCCTTTCCTGTCCCTCTCCTCCCATTACACCACCGCCACTCCTCCTCCCATTACACCACCGCCCCTCCTCGAGATCCCCCCCCCCTTTCCTCCCCAACTTCCTTTCCCCAGAGTACCCCAGTGAGATATCTGGCAAGATACATACATTTGTTAATATGTGTACTTTGTGTTAGAGTAGTAACCCAACAGTTGCATTGTAACTATCACCTGGTAATCCTATATTTGGTTAATTCGGACAAAACATGTTTTTTTTTTTCATGTTCCGCACTGTATTCCGCGCTATAAAACAAAGTGAAACAGTGCAACACTGGTACTACACTAACTGTTATCAAACAGAAGTAGGGTATACATACACTATTATATTTTTTTTCATTCAACCTGCAGGCTGAAAGAAAAAGACAACCGATTCCTGTTCAGTGTGGATGGACGAATCTCCCACTTTGAGCTTTGTATTCTGACAACAGCACTGGCCGCTGTCAAAATACAGCTTTCAGCCGAGGAATTTCCAACATGTCCTTTCAGCAAAAGTTGATCTAATGATCAACATCTGTTGAGGAGATAGGGTCACCAATGGAGTGAATTTCATACGATTCCTTTGGAATCGGCTCCGTGTGTACCCAGCTTAAGAGTAACTAAAACATTTCAGATACATTTTCAGCAGCTTACAAAAGCAGCAAAAGAAAAATGTTCGGATCCTAAACTCATAGCTAGCTCCATACGTGAGATTTCTGGTGTCCCAGAATGCACCAGAATTAGCTCCATAGCTATAGTTTTGTTGGTGTAGCTTAATATTCTGAAAGCATTCTTGGTCATTCCCTACAGCCATGAGTTAGATGATGTAAAATACGGGAATGCTCAGCAACCTCTGCAAGCCGCAGTCTGGCTTTGAATGTAAATCTATCCTTTAATACAGGTCGCCTTGTTGCTGAATTGCCACCATTTCAGTACTTCCTTTAAAACATTTTCACTTGTTCAAGTAATAAACCCATCTATGCTCTTCATTTTGTGCACAAATGCTTCATGACAAATACATAGGTATATTTTAGGACTTTCTTTTGTGGCAGCAGCAATGTAAAAATAGAGTAATTTGTATTGACCTTGGATGTGCCTTGAAGAATAGAATTTACATATTTAAGCTTGCTGATTAGAGACCGACAATGCCAAAGCAGTGAAAGGTTGCAAGCAACATCTTTTTACAATAATTAAACACAGGAAATACGCGTCAGAAAGTTGCCAGAAGAAAAAAATCAAATTGAAAAAACTTGCGATGAAATACAGTAAGTGCATGTCTTACAATTCTAATTAACGAGAATTCCAGTCTGTTTCCTTTGTAAACAGGTAATTCGGAGGGCTTAGGTAAAATGTAGCAGTCAGTCTCTCAGCCTAAAAACAGCCTACTTGAAAAGATAAGAGGTGATCATGGATGGATAATGATTATCTCAAGAAACATTGATATGGGCTGTCGTCAATTCAGGTAGACTGCCAATAGCTCCCTGGAACAAGACCGGTGTCCAAAGCAAATGTATATAAACATATATGTGCAGCCAAAACACTGGTTTAACAATCTAAAAATTTACAAACTTAGTTATTGAAGATGCTCATGGGATGTACTTCCTCAATGTACTAAAACAAATTCACTTACCCCTGTCACACTCCCACAGACACCGCCTTCTGAACAACAAACGCAATGTCTGTACAATGTACCATTACCACTGCTTGCTGGAAGCAATGCATAATGGGATATGTAGTCTTGAGAAATTTAGATGTCATTACATCAAGCAGCAGGAAAAAAAGATGTAAAGCAGGAAGTTGTTGAAAGTGATGGACAGACGGAAGGCAGCACTTAATACAGGGTTATTCACAAAGGGATGAAGAGTTTGGAGAAGGCAGGAGATGTGAGAAATCTAGGACAACATAGCTGAACTGGAACGTGAGCTGAATTGGAGAATATTTCCAAATCAGCTATATTGTCCTAGATTGTTCACTTCTCCTGTCTTCTCCAAACTCTTCACCCATTTGGGAATAACCCTGTTAAACTTGAATTCTACATACAACTAATACAATCGCATTCAGTATTGATTTAGCTTTAATGCTTTCTATTTATTTCTTTTTAAAATTCAATTATGCCGCCATGAATAAGTTCCAAATTTACAGGGAAACAAAAAAATGATATACGATTTGGAAATAAGAATTATATTATATGGATATATAAATCAAACATTTCAAAGCAAGCTAGAACACTTCCATTTGTCGGGGCATCGCAGTACATCAAAACTCTGCATACAATTATGTTAATTTCAGCCACACTTGATATTTTATTGCTGGTAAGGAAACTCAGCAGACAGTGAAAATCTCTTCTGCAAAACAACTTCAATTAGCTGCAGAATGCATTTATGTGAAAGTTATGAGCCAGTGAAGCTCATGTTTTGCACTAAAACTGTCACTTATATATCAAATGACTGCTTACTCTGCAACTCTCAGCAAAAGCTGCTTCGTTTCCAGAGTGAAGAGAGAATGTCAGGAAAGGGGTCCAATTCCTAGTGACCCTCATTCATCACGTCCATTATTCTAATGATTGGCCATAAAATAAAAATTAGAAAGACCTAATAAAAATGTCACGTTTTACGCTACAGTGCTGGAAAACGAGGGGTTAAAGCTGAGGCCAGCACAGTGAAATGAATCCCTATTCCAGCTTTAAGGGTCCTTGGCATCGCTGCCTTTCATGACTGAAGCCTTTTTTTTGTTTTTTGCACCCATGTTATAATCCACATTTTAGGCCTGAAAATTACTTCAAACCCCCACATATATTTTCTGAAAGCCAAGAACATGTAGAATAAAATGGTGGCAGTTGCAAATTTTTATGTTACACGATATTAGTGCAACTTATCAAACCCAAAAATGTAGTGAAAAATGCACTTAAGTTAAATTTAGTGCCCCAAAACACAATAAGAATACCAATTTTTTAAATGAAATATAAAAGATGAGGTTACAACGAGTAAATAGATAACCCAACATGCCCAGATTAAAAATTGTGTTCGTCTGTGAAACGGCGTAAAAAAATTCAGTACCCCAAAAAGTCCATGGACGCTTTAAAAGCCCCTAGAGGTCATCAGTTTTAAAATACGCATACGTATTGGCCCAAGAATTATTGCTCTCACTCTGGCGTCCACGGCGGTACCCAACATGTAAATCGCGGTCGTTGTTTTCATATGTAGGCGCACCCAACGCGTGTTTATGTTATGACGCGCGTGCTCAAGGGGGCGGGGGACTATCATTCCTTTTTTACATTTATTTTGTACTATTTTAAAAAAAACTTATTTTTATTTTACTTTAATTGCTATCACATAGGGGGGCTTACAAGCCCCCCATGTGATAGCAGATGGTGATGACAGGTACTCTAAGGTTATGCTGGGGGTCCAAAAGACCCCTAGTGTCACCTTTACACGCCAAATAAGCTATATTAAGCTTCAGGAGCCGAGCACTGACAGCTATAGGACCGAAAGTGATGCAATTTGTGTCGCTCCTGGTCCCATAGTACGGGGAGGAAATCGGTGAACGGACGTGGCTGAATAGTGGAGCCAAGGGAGGAAACAACTTCCTGTGTTCAGTGTATAGAAGGCAAGTTGCTCCAGCGGCACCCAGAAGGACAGCATTGACAGTGTGTTGCACAGACTACTACACCCCCAGCGGCCCTCCAGTGTATGGGACCCTCTACATGAATGGGGCTGCAGTGTGCATGCCCACCAAGAAGAGGTGGGGATGTTTTTGCTGGAAATGCTGTGCAGTGTCGGACAGAGCTGCATAGCGATTATCGCTGGAACAGGTATGAAGGCAAGTATTTAACTCCAGGAATTATCTATTTTCTTTCTACCTTACATTGGGCCAGCTTGGTTACATGTAATTATCAATGTATTATACTGGAGGGCTGCTGGGGGTGTAGTAGTCTGTGCTACACACTGTCAATGCTGTCCACTTCTGGGTGCCGCTGGAGAAACTTGCCGTCTATACACTGAACACAGGAAGTTGTTCCCTCCCATAGCTCTACCATTTAACAAACTTTTTTTTTACATTCTCTTATTGGACAAGAAGGAGGAGGAGCAGATGACATCACGACCACCACCGTGTCTAACTGAACAAAAATACAAGACGTTTGCTGAATGGAGGTGGTATGGGAGAGAGCGAACAGATGGCAAGTTGCTCCAGCAGCCCCCCGAAAAAGTATAGCACTGAGTGTGTAGCACAAACTACTACAGTGTAATTCAGCCTCACCAGTGGCCCTCCGGATGCGATACATGAATACATGTAACCAAGCTGGCCCAATAAGTTTAAATAGATAATTCCTGGAGCTTTAATATTTAATGTGCTTATATTTTGCCTTCCCTTGCATCTCTTTCCCCCTCAACATGCTAATGAAATCAAATAAATAAAGCCCGTTTTCACGTTATACCTTATTTTGGACCCAGTGACACCTTAATTAGATCCCTTTGCTTCTCTATGATATGCAAGAAGATCATGGCTAGTTGGAGGGGCCAGCAGGGTGCTGTACATTGTTTCCTGAAAACAGGTGATGCTGGGCCTTCATGATTAATAAGAGATTAAATCAAAAGGCATGAAAATGGCAGACCAGGGACAGTAAAGATGATAAAGAGGAGGAAGAAATGGCTAGATAACATTTGATGTCCCCCAGCCAGTAAATGAGGCTTGCCACAGCTCCTAATGCACACTGCAAGAAGCTCACAGTGTGCATTGAGATCATGGTAAACTAGTTCAGTACTGGAGAGGAGCCGGTACAACTGTGCAAGACTGAAGGCAAGACTGGAGTTCAGCTTTAACACAGCCGATACATGGCAGGGCACTGGGGAATTCCTGGGGGTTGTGTTTTGAGTGGATCTCCCGCTTAAAAATGGTAGGTAGAGAAGGCAAGTAGTTTATGTATGTTTCAGCCCTGTGTGTGTAGACATAGTATATACATACAGAACACGCCATCAGAGGTGTAAACTGCAGGAACAATCCTAACATAGCTTCCTGTCCGCTTGCTATATCCAAATCCTATTTAATCATTATGTGCAAAAATGAGAGGATACCTGAATAGAACTTTTCCCAATGGCAGTAAGTATTTCCCTCAGCGTCTGATAGTGTTCCAGCATATGGTCTCCACATACAATATCCACCTAATATAAGAAAAAAAACAAACACATGCTTTATCAAGGCTCATAAAACGTTGTTTAAAAGACCTCCTGAACTAGGTAACAGTTGGCACAAATAGTGCAATTGTGCCAAAGCGTTGCATCCTGGGAAGGTTAAGCCTTTTTTGTAAAGCCTTTTCCAAAATGTTCACAAAAAAAAAAAAGAACAGTAATGGGGTCACTACTGCCTCTAAAAGCACTGCTATTTGAAATGTCGTACAGCAATGATATAACTTGCAGTCAACATTTATCATTTGCTAAAAAATGTACAAGTGAGAGTAAATATAAAGCCAAATTCTACTTTTATATTTTTAGTTTTGCATAGACTAATAGAGGTTACATCGTTCTTAAAACCCCTGCGTTTGTGTCTCATTTGGTAGATTTCTCTTCACCTCCTGTCCTGGAGACACAGCAGGAAGCGAGAGGAAAAAAAGTGTCCAATGTGAGAGAAAGTCCCTCAAATGGTTGTCACCGGAACAGATTGATTCCCACCTCTTTCTGTCTGGAGGACAATAGTCATAGAGGCAAGGAGGGTAAACCTCCATAGTGGAGACACAGATAGTACTGCACACTTCACAGAGGATTCAAAACTTCCCTTACTGTATCAAAAACAAAGCAACCCTTACTACTTGAAAAAAAAAAATTGCCTCCGTGAAAAAGTTACATTTTTATCTGGCCATCTGCCATTGCTGCTGATCTTTGCTGTTTTGAAGAGCCAAGTACGGAAATGTCGGTTTCCCTGTTGCAAATTTTCCTTCATATTCTGTCTGATAACCACTGAACAATCACTTTCTCAAACAATCATCCCCGCGCAGTTACCTCCTCATGTATCACTGGCCCCTCCCTTTTCGATTGTAAGCCCTCAGGGGCAGGGCCCTCCTTGCCATCTTGTCTTGAATTGTATTGTGACTGTAATGTCTTCCTTATATTGTAAAGCGCTGTGCCAACTATTGGCGCTATATAAATCCTGTATAGTAATAAATGTTTCCAGAACAGTGATGGGAAATCTCTCTAACAGAGTCCTGGATAGCAGTATAACCTGACAGTGCTAACCTTCCCCATTCTATCCCAAAAAAGAAAAGTTTTAGTATAGATACACTTGGAAGGATCTTAAGCATCTGACCCACTTCCAGGAGATTGATGCTTGGTCCTTCACTGCATGTTGTGGTTCCCTCTGCCTGCCCCATGTCACTACTGTGTCTGGTGGCGACATGGAGGTTGGGAAATTGCAGAGAAAAGCCCCCAACAAACGTTGAATGCCTAGGATTCTTCAGCAAATATTGCTCTTCAAAACAGAAGATCGGCAGTGTGGGCAGCCGGACAGGTAAGTAGCAGGACACTTCTTCACAAGGAGGTATTTTTTTTCTAATGTTCTTTAAAATAGTGATACAGTTAATATAAAATAAAAAACGGGTTTTACTACCATGCAGTTAACACTACCTGATGACTATTTTCATATATTACTAGCAGGAGAACCTCCATCAACTTCATGCTCCACTTTTGGGTTAAAAAGCAGAGAAGGCATTCTAAGGCTACATTCAAACCCCGTGCTTTAGTCTAGCGTGCTGTATCACTGGGACAGTTGGCAGCAAAGGGGTAGATGGTAGCTAATGTAAACCACATCTAAAAAGACCCCCCACTGCATCCACAACAAATGAAAACCAACACAGCTGCAAATCTGCAACAACCGTTGTAGAGGGAAAAAAAATATTTATAAAAATATTTATATCGTGTCACTGGCCGTAAGTCAAGTATTTAGCTTTGTCACAGGTTTCTTTAAAATCTTATATCTGATAAGATTTAAAGGAAACCTGTGACAACGCTAAATATTTAGGAAACAAGGGACAAGACAGAGCGCCTCCATAGTGTAAAAGTGTCATTTATTTGTACAACACGCAAATAAAAATGTACTTACAGGAAAGTCGGTGGTTAAAAGCATACAAATGGTGATGAAGTATAAAATCTCTAGCAGCCCCCTTCATCAGAACCTGATGAAGGGGGCATGCCCCTGAAACGCATAGACCTTTAGAACTCAAGGGGGTAGAGGATGCTGATGAAGGGGGCATGCCCCTGAAACGCGTAGACCTTTAGAACTCAAGGGGGTAGAGGATGCTGATGTGCTGTACTCCTTCAGACTTCCGCTGCTAGAGTTTTTATACTTCATCACCATTTGTATGCTTTTAACCACCGACTTTCCTGTAAGTACATTTTTATTTGCGTGTTGTACAAATAAATTACACTTTTACACTATGGAGGTGCTCTGTCTTGTCCCTTGTTTCCTAGATCGATGGTCTTTTTGACCAGTGAGAGCTGCCTTTTGAGTGTTTAAGCCAACTTCACAACCAGCCCATCTTGCAACCAGAGGCGCCGGTATTGGTTTTTTCGATGCTAAATATTTGACTTACGGCCAGTGACACAATAGTTCCAGCATTCCAGGCCATGAAAGCCAACATTAATTTGCAACGCGCGACACAAAACTGACCTGGAACACGATAACAGGCAAAGAGCCAGAGAATAGCAACTTACATACTTCGCTCCATGCAAGGCTTCTGAGGCAGATATCTAGTTTAATGACTGGTCCCTCATAAATCACTCAAGGAGATAGTGGAATCACAAAGAACTTTTAGATCACTGTAGACCTGCAGCTAACGATTATTTTCAAAATCGATTAGTTAGCCGATTATTAAGTTCGATTAATCGGATAAAAAATAAAATAAATTTTAAAAAAATGGCTCCAGTGATGGGACTACTAGTTTGTATTGAGATTGCAGTCCATCACAGGAGCAAGCTTGGAGAGGTAGAAGTAAAAAAGAAAAAAAAAGTGTGGTGTACAATATAGTGAACTGAAAAGTGTAAAGTTATACAGCAATGAATGCAGAATGGCACCGGCTTTAGAGGACTCCAAAACCCAGCAATAGTACATTATACAGCACAATGCAGAATACCACCAGCTATAGAGGAATACATCAAATCCCAGCAATAGTACATAATTTGTTACCCTAAAATTGTAATGAAAAAAAAGGATCCTACGCACTTTCCTCTATCAGAACAATTTGAGATCTTGTGGCAGAAGACAAATGCAGTGTGATACATGTATAGTGCGGCCATTGTATTTAATTCTCACACAGTGATGACATTTGGAATTGGAAAATGGAACATAAAGTAGATCTACTAAGACTCAACAGCTACATGAAAATAATGGCATGTGCACGTTAGCTACAGAGAAGGCTCATTTTGGACCGGTTTTACAGATATAATATTGAATTCAGCTTGATAGTTATCTGCTTGGATATTTTTAAAGCAGGATGGAGGATTTGACCATTCAAATATATTCAGCTCGTTTCTCCAACAAGGTAACATGGTTATCGCTCACCAGATTTGGCTATTAAAGTGGAAGATTTGACCACCTAAGGCCCCGTTCACATTGAGCGATTTATCGCGCGGTAATTCCCGCGATATCGCGGCTATTTATCGCGCGATATCGCTCTTCAATGCATCTCAATGGGGCAAAGGGTCCTGCTGTCGCGGGTCGTGTGTCGCTACAGCAGGACCCTTTTTGGAACGGATTTTGCCGCAATTCTCGCTTGCTCAATGCAAGCATTTGCGCAATATGGTGCAAAATGCAAATCGCGCGATTTGCGAACTGCTCAATGTGAACGGGGCCTTATTGTAGAAATGTCACCAGCACACCAGTTTTTTTAGGATAGCAAAAGCTTCATTTATTGAAGTTCTTTGTCATCTGAACAAGCGCTTTCAGGACCACACAGGGTCCCTTCATCAGGGTTTAGTAATGAGGTCAATGCTAAAGCAGATGAAGGGACCCTGTGTGGTCCTGAAAGCGCTTGTCCATATGACAAAGAACTTCAATAAATGAAGCTTTTGCTATCCTAAAAGGACTGGTGTGCTGGTGACATTTGTATCATTTGCTGATACTTGCGGCGCCATCCGCAGTCACTGCGAGCATCCCCCTCAACAAGGGACTTTCAGTAAGGAGTGCAACAAGTATAAGTATTTAAGATCTGACCATCTGTCACTAAGAAGTAGTCACGGGCAACCTGATCTGCAGATGTGTAGGGAATTTTAACAGAGACCTAAATGGATTCAGGAAAGAAATAGCTAATTGAACAAAGCCCCTAAACATTTGCAGACAGTACAGTTGTGCAATACAACATATCATACAATATTCTGCACACGCAATAACTACATATAAACAATCAGATTGTGTGAATCATTGACTTTTAAAAACAAAACAATATCCACATTGAGTTCTCCAAGAGTCTATTACTTACTCGACACATTGCAGTGAGTTCCATTTTCCTTCTTAAGAATTTCTCCACATGTCCAATGGTTGCTTCTCCAGACACACGAACAAACTTTTTCTCCAGGGGCTAAAATATTGGACAGACAATGGGGTTGACTTATTAAAGAATCTGCTACCGTCAAAGCTGCAGGGACACACGTGTGATGCAATGGCCTGTGTCTGTTTCACCAGAAGTGTTGGATGCTGAAGCGGTTACCAGCGTATCTAGCTCAAAAGGGAGCAAAGATTCCATTCACCGAAGACAGTACTGGTAATTCAAGTACATGTATTTTAAAGAGGAACTGTCCTTAGGATACATGTATCCCAACTACAGTGTCCCTTTAAAAGGAGATATGCCATGGCATGAATACACGGGATTACTGCCAACTCCCTCAAAACACTAGTTGTCTGGCTGAAATGCTGCTCCAGCGGCTTTAATCCTTTTTGAGTCACTTACCCAGGAAGGTAGGCAGCAAATAAAATCTTACATACGTTAAGACTCCTGATAACGGCCTCAAAAAATGATTGAAGCCAGAAAAATCAGCATGACTGCCAAAAACAGCCTCTGTATTTCTCAAACAAAAGATTTCCTTTTAAACTTTAAAATGTAGAGGGGGAAGCGGAGTTCATGAAGAGTTCACTTACTACACCATCTGTAAGCTACATGTTTGATATCTTGCATAAAACAGACCCTCAAAAGGCACAGCATGTCACATTTAATGACACAGTGTCACCAATTATGAACAGGACAACTGTATTCCTCCCGCGCTGTTTTTTCAGACATTTCAGGACTCGGATATGAATAATGAAAGAGATATTAAACATGCATGAACCTATTCCAAGCACAGCAGTGGCGACGGAGAAAGAACACCAATAAGGGCAGTGAGAGAGCACTTTCCAACAGGCGTTACATTTCTCTTTTTCAACACTTTTCTATTGGGCTAAAGAGGAGACGACTTCATGAGACTGCAGATAAAAAAGCAGAACCTCACTGTGCAGGCGTCTTATGTAAGAAACAGGCCCACCCCTCGTCTACGCTGTTTGTACGAAAGACATTGATCAAAGTGATGCCATCTTGGATTCTTTATAGTTTAACAGCTCGGTAACCTGCATCACCCTTTAGGCCCGGGGGAAACCTACGCGATGCGGGATGGCGCAGTCCTGCACAATGCAGGCCGCGATTGCCACACAGCCCCTTGATTTCAATGGGGTGACATCTGCACGGTAATCGCAGAAAAAAGGTACATGTACCTTTCTTTGCGATACGCGACGCACGGCTGTTTTATGGCAGGCGAAATCGCGCCGCGAAACTGCGTGAGCCGCCTGGCATGCCATTAGAAAATAGTGGCACCCACAGCGCGTTTGGTGCACACCTAGGCGACTCCTGACCGCGCGGCAATCCGTGCGGAATTGTGCACGATGGCCACGCAGTGAGGTGTGACCTAGGTGTGCACCGGCCCTTACAAGAACTGGAGTCTTAAAGTGCACCTGTCAGCTATTTAAAAGTCAGGTCTAAGAGCAGACACACAAAAGCAGATCACAAAAAGTGTGAAGATGAAGCCTCAGTCTCCAGCATTTGGCCCATCAAATAATTTTTATTCGCCATTAAATCCAGTGAGGGACACAGGAACGTTTGGATTATATTGCCACCTAGAGGAGAATTGGACACTGTCAAACAACATGTAGGCCAGCCCAGGGGAATTGTAGTTTCACCACAGCTGGAGGGCAAAATTTGACTACCCCTGGTATAGACAATATGAGATAAGAAACTCGTTAGCATCCAACCACACACAGGCAGTAAACAAACACCAGACTGCCCACCAGTTGCCTTAATGGACATTATGCATAATTACCTTAAAGCTTCCAGTGCCCTCCTGAGCCCTACAAATAAATAAAAATCCTTAAATTTACCCAAATTAAAAAAGAGCATGTAATGCATACAATACATCCTGTAAAGCATGCATGTTATAAACTCTATTGATGTGTTTTTTTTTATTGTCTAAATATAATAACGTGCCTTTTCATTATCATCCTAATGCACTTTCAGAACCATTACACAGTAATAAATAATGCAGGAGCGGGTGGGATATGTGGACACGAAACACTTCAAGCTCCACTATTGTCTGGTGAATTGAAGCTTTCACTTCCAAAGGCAGAAACAGGGTAGGATGTCAAAAGATGCATATCAAGGCAATGCAATTACATCCCTGGGAGTTCTTAATGTCAACCTCAATACATCAGGGTAACTGAATCCATACTGATTGATGTAGTCACTCAATCTGACACGTGGAAGTGTGTGTGTATTTTACAAATCATGTACATGACTGTTTATGCCACAATATATAATAATTCTATTTGTAAAAAATATAGGATGATGTGGTTTCCCTGAGGTGTTGCTTTTGTATGGTACCCATGGATCCCTATGGTTGCCCAGTCCCTTGCATTATCGTACCAGACGCTTATTAGTTAACGCACCTCTATTTTATGCATATGTTGTAAGTGAAGGAAATACACTTACAGGCAAAAACTAAAATAGCCTTTCCAGAGGTTACATTGTATTCAATGAAGTGGAACCCACCCTAACCATGGCTACAAAAGGGGTTTACTTTGCCATCTAGTGGATGTGACGGAAACAACATCTTTATTACCAGTATACTATTCATTTGCAGCCAACACAACGACAAAGTTGATCACATTGTTTAAATTGCTTTAAACCCTTTCGCTGCCAAGGACGTACGTCGTACGGAGCTACAAAAGTGCTTCCAGCTGGCCAGCTCAGTACGTCGTACGGACCTGGCATTTACAGTTCTACTATAAGCTGATGGTCGCTTTAGCGACCATCAGCTTATAGTAGAACTGTTCAGCAGACTGTCCCCTTTAAAATTACTTTTTTCATATTGAAGCCTATTATTTATAAACAACTCTTGGTTTCAGTCTTCTTGCCAACCAGCTTGGGTACGAATTTCACATGAGCAGGGGGATCAAACGCAGGCCGCATCAGCATTATGGTTGTCCTCAAAGGGCCGGTTGTATCTGTTAAGCTGGTCATACACCTATAGATTATCTGCAGATTTTCTATGGTCGGATGGAAAAAGTGCAACAGATTCCTCCATCTACGCTTAACTGTGTGTTTGGGGGAACCTCCCACTGTGGTCCCTACCCACAGATATTCCTTTTATTTACATTTACACAGCAACTGACTTTATGCCGGTCGGTTGTTCAGCATTGCACAGTTCCTGCAGCATGAAAACATGAGTTGATTACCTGATAACTCTGTTTCCAGGAATCTTCCAGGACAGCCATCGAGATATAGGCTCCGCCTGCCTGCATATTCAGTAGAAAGGACTGTGCGTCTGAGTTTTTCTTTTATGAATAACTGTGAAAAAGGGGAAGTTTGTAAAACAAGAAGTGCACATTGGTAAGCTTGAGGCTGACTCTATGAAAGACCTATATTAAAGTGATGTTTGTGGGCACAGATGCACGTTAAGTGTCAAGCTGTTATCACAGCCAATTGCTAGAGGATGGGACTGGTCAAGTATGTGGCGCTCACATTTTGCATTGATGCAAAGGAGGAGATGCTGGGCATAGTGGTCTCAAAATTGGAGCCATGGATGTCCCCTGTGAGCACTACTCGGCTCGACAAAAGTCGATTTCAAATTTGACTGAGCCAGGTGGAAAATATTGGCCAAACAGTGTGTGCCTGCATTCAGAGGCAGTCCCTGTCCATGTATTCTGGCAGCAAGCACTGGAGATTCTTCCATTCACACTGTTTAGCGTAGATGGAATTGATTGAATTTCTCTTGTTTACCCCGCATGCTGAACAAGAGAAATTCCTCCATAAGTAATGTTAATACAATTATTCTCTTAATTTTGAGTAGGATATTTACTAACCCCATGAACTCCAGAAGCAGGGATACATCCAACTCTGGAGGGATACGAAAGACGGGTCCCAACAGTTTCCTAGGCCTTCCTCGACCGGTGAGGTTTGGTTGTGGGACCGCTATGTAAAAAAAGAACCAAAAACAAAGAGTTACTGCGTCAGCATTTGTGAACTATGGGAGAAAAAGAAGTAGTTACTAGATATCACTACACAAATTCTTTAATGTGTTTTCCCAGTTAACCAGGATCGGAGAAAACCCAGAGATTGCTTGACCACAATTTGCGCATTCAATAGTAAAATAAACTCATCATGAACATCGACATCTCAAACTGAGCATATGAAAATAAATGCATAAGCACAGGTTACCTGCAGAGAATCACAGGTCAGTGATCAGCAGATCCTAAAAGGTACAAGCAGCTGAAGTTATATGCAAAAATCCAATTTCCTGGATACCTAAAGCCTCTTTGCATCTACATGCTGAACATGAAGGCCAGCAAAGCATTTCTTCGGGTGGGATTTCCTGATGCAGACAACAGTGGACCATGTCTTTTTAAAGTGTATTGAAAGTCCATGTGACAACACAGGAGCACAGTTGGGAGACAGGGACTGAGTGCTGTCAGACAAAAAACAGGAAGTGCCTAAACAAGGACCTTAAAGCGGACCTTTACCCAGATCTTCAAAATAACAACAAAGGCACCTATAGAAATGTTTAGTAATGACAATCTACAAACAGATGTTTCTAGATAATTGCCGGCTTTTTATTCTTTGGATACCTTATTTTTCTTCTCTTCCCCATTCTTCTCAGTGGCCATTTGTGATAGGGGAAGATGAATCTATCTCCCTTTACTTCCTGGAACTCTGGCACATGTGACCACACCACAAAATGCTTTTTCCCGAGATCTCAGATGAGATGAGATGAGATTTCTCAGCAATGCTCTGCCGATGTAATCTTCCCAGGATGCAATGCTTGGGCTTGATGACATAATTTGTGCCAAAGTGGACCAGGAAGTGGAAAAAAAGATTGCAAGTAAAAATAGCTTCTCTTTTCAGTATGTTCAGTTAAGATTTGAAAATGAAAGAGAGAAGCTGATTGGTTGCCATGTACAGCTGCTCCAGTTTTGATAAATTCCCCTCAAAATATGTTTGTTTAGCTAATGTAGGATGATTTAATATCAGCATGCAGAGCTGTATGCTGATGTGATTTTGAGTCAAAGGGGGTAAAGGTCCACTTTAATGGCATGATCAGCAGGTATTAGTGGCTGGGTTTACATATACTTTAATATGATTTGTGGCCTTACCAACCAATTAGAGGGCTCAAGGGCAGGGACATACTAAACTTTTAAAGGACAAGTGGACAATTTCCTATAACTTCAGCTTCCTTCATCTATGCAGCTATTGATCATTTTCACTGATGGTTACCTATACTTTTCTTTTGGCACATGCTGAAGTTGAATTGCACAAGTCTTCTTGAATATTGTCCAGCAATCACCAAAGGAACGTCATGCTGTGATTTTACATCAGGGGTACAAAAGAGGAGTAAAACGTTACACTGCTACCCACAGCAGTAAAAACTTCAACTTACTTGGCTTTGGGATTTCAAGGCCTCTTTCACAGAACACTCACCTCTCCGCCAGCTTCAGGGAGTCCCATCGGTGATCTGGTGACGTCACGGACATCGACGTCACCGGACTCCTCCCCCCTTCCCCAAGTGGCTCCGTCGGCTAAAGAAGGGGAGGAGTCCCGTGACGTTGATGTCCGTGAAGTCACCGGACTCCTCCCCCCTTCGTTAGCCAACGGAGCCACTTGGGCCGGTGAGTTTGCCCAAGAGACTTTCTGCATGAGCGCCAGCCAAGGCATTGGCCTATACACATACAGCACAGCAATGAAGTAATAAAATTAACTATGATCACACTAATCCAGCACGTTATTAATCTCACGTGCCCCACTCAATATGGCCGCTGCTTAACGTGCTGGATTAGTGTGATCCTAGTTCATTCTATTACTTCATTGCTGTGCTGTATGTGTATAGGCCAATGTAGTTGGATCTGTAAGTGTGTTATAATTAATCGAAATTTAATCAATTAAAACTTTTTTCGCTTAATTGAACACGAAAAATTTTAATCATTACCAGCCCTAATATATATATATATATATATAGCTAACCATCAATCCCATTAAAGAAAAATCCCACTAAATCCACTTTTAGGTGTTCATTTGCTGAATTAACACAACCAGGGCTGAAAGAGGCTGCCCACAACAATGGTACTGCCTTCTGATCCTAGTGCTCCCTCCACAAAAGGGGGAGGGCAACTAATTTTGCGAATAAGGATTGAGGGCATCTATGCTGATCAATAGTTCGGCAGCCTATGATCATTAGATCTGATATCACAGGAACCCTTCTCCCAGTCAGGATAGACTGAGTGCTGAAAGCAGAAGGCACTGCATGAGGCAAGCAGATGGAGCAATGGCAGCACATGAAGCTCTGGCCGTGGTAAATTGGAAAGCTTCACTAAAGCTGGACCTAAAAATTATAATGACAAGACATCAACATTGAAAACTTTTATAAGACTTTAGAGCTCCCCTAATTAAAATGTAAAGTTTACGGTAGTATAGAAAACGATGTCATTGGCACACAAGTATGGAGACCTCATGCAATGCTCCCAAGTAGCTGGCTATCACAGAACTGGTTTGTTATATTCACACAAAGGATGGACAGACAAACTCCAGACTATACAGCATATTTCACTGAGGGGTGTTCTGACATTCTTTACGATGTTCTTAGATACTTTGGTCCATTTTCTCAATGTGCAGAAAGTACCTGCATACATTAGCAGCTGATATAGACTTCGTATAGTAAAATCACTTACGTTCTTCCAAATTAATGACTAATTTGTAGACGATGTCTTGTAATTGTCTATCCAATCTGGAAGAAGAGAAACATATGAAATCCTAGTAATTAAACCACAAGATTGTGTATCACAGGTCACCGGAACATTATAAAGGAATAACGCAGACACAAGGCTAACAAGGGTACGGTAAGAAATCAAACTGCACCCTAACCTGTAGAAATAAACGATGTAAAAAGGGTATCTATGGTCATATGTATTTCTGTATTGAATTTCCATAAGTTCCCCCCACTCCTAAAAACCATACCGATCTAGAAAGTTTGTAAACTTACTTATTGAAGATGCCCATAGGATGCACTCCCTCAAAGTACTGACACAATTCCACTCAGGCCTTGTGACAGCACTCACACAGAGCCGCCTGCCTTCTGAACTACAAGTCAACGACTGAACTTCCCACAATGGAACATAGCACACTTTGTTCCCAAAGAACTAGGATTCTTCAAAAATGAATAACAGCTGACATTCATTACAGCAAGTAAACAGCTTTGTACATCTTTTGCACAGTATCCTTTCAAATTAGGACACACTTACCCTACAATTGTGCAATTACAACTGATCTTCAGTCCTCAGCTCTGTGTGTATCTTTGGCCTTTTCATGGCCACTGATGATGCAACTCCTAAGCACCTGTGCAGGGGTTACAACTAGGGATGCACCGATACCGTTTTTCTGGTATTGAGTACGGGGTACTGATATTCTTTTTTCTCTGTATTAGCCGATATTGAATACCAATACCAGAAGTCCCATTAAGGAAGCATTCTGATTAGCCGGGAAGCCGTCTCCATGCTTCTTTGTTCACCAGGTGACGAGCAAGCATGGCGGCGGCTTTTTGGCCAATTATGGAGCCGGCTTTCTGGGCTGTAGAGGGAGCTGAGCCAGGACACGCTGGGGCTCGGAGCCAAAGGGACGGCCAAGTCCCCCAAGCAGCTGTCCTTCATGTCCTACCCGACTCCGGAGGTGAGTGAGCGGGGGGCAGCCTGACCTAGTGCCATCGCACTCCTTCCTGTGTCATAGTGCTGCTGTGCCCACAGACATGTCAGCCTGCTCCATTCGTACTGTGTCAGTCTGCCCGTGTGGTCACCAAGTAACGAGGGAACATGGAGCAAGCTTCCCGGCCAATCAGGAAGCCAGGGGGCATGTAATGACTCACCGCCCGGCTTCCTGATACAGGAAGTTACGGTATTGGGATAAGTATAAGCAGTAGTCGCCCAAATACTCGGTATCGGTGCCGATACTAGTGTTGGTATGGGTGCATCCCTAGTTACAACCTCCCTGGCATCCGGCCCATTTGCGGAATCTTAGAGATGCTGTGAATGGGCTGAGTGAGTATACCGTGTGGGGAATGCACCGTACTGTGCACACAGAACATTAAAAGAAAATAATTCTATTCTCTTCTGAATTTTTTGGTCAGAAAAGACTTTGCATGTCACATCTGCCAAAAACCCTGACCTCCCTGCGATTTCTCATTTTTTAAACTTTACTGTGGCTTTAAAGACTATCTTTGGCCAAAACCCCCAGATACCCCCACACTGCAAGTGTTAAATGCTCATTTTTGTCAAGGTGCTAAAAAAAATAACAATTCATTATTATACTCACCCGAACTACTGAGTCGCCGCCCTGCTTGTTCAGTCTATAAAACCTGTCTCCTCCTACACTGCACCATTGGAATGTTCCTCAGCTTCCTCAGTACATTGTGTATAGAAGGTGAGGATTTACAGGACCTCAGACTGCAGCAGTGGAGAGACTGGAAGGACCGGTCTAAGAACAAGCCGGCTACAAAGATCATGCGAGTAGAACTTTTTTTCCCCCAGCACAGTTAACCCTTGCAGTGCAGGGGTAGCCCCACTGCAAGGCTTAATAACGTTTTTGCCCAGAATTCTTCTTCAATGTGTGCGCTTCCAAACATGTATTAGAGAGAACAAGCACTTACCTAGCAAAAGGGTGATTCTGTTCAGCCAGGTTAGTGGTTCTCACGCGCACATGCACACACGCAGTGTAAACAGACCGGTATCAGAGGGCGCTGTGTGGAATCCTAAACAGCAAACAGAGGCCTCACCTGCCTGGATACGCAGTGTGGCAGGTGTGTGTGAATGACAAGATTAACCACTTGCCGTCCGCCCGTTGTAAAAAAACGGACGGACGGCACTGCAGTATTGGCGGGTTGCCGTCGCCAGACAGCATTTTTTTTCTGCTCGCGAGCGCCCCCTAGCGGGCACGCACGGGCAGAAAAGACCCGACCAATGCAAACACCCGTTACCGGGTGTTTCACATATAGATGATCAGCGGCTCCATAGCCCGCCGATCGTCTATATGTGCTCGTTTTTTCTGCATGATCTCTGCTTCATCAGCTTCTTTTGGGGTCCACAGGTGACATTAGGGGTCCTAGGGACCACTAATGTCTCCATAAAGGAGGACCTGTCAGTGTGCCTTTGCTATTATATAGGGGGGTTGTTATCCCCCTATATAATAGCAATAACAATAAGTGCAAAAAAAATAAATATAAATAAAAAATAAATAAAGGTAACATATAAAAAAAGTGAAAAAACCCCCCCAAAATGTTTAACTCCCCCACCCCCACGTTTACGCGCCTATAAACGTAAATACGCGTCCGGTGCCCCAGCGCGCAAAAATTACAATTGCGCTACACATGTTACATATCGCCGCGAACGTCGCAGTGAGAGCAATCATTTTAGGGCCATCAATCACTGATAACACTAAACTGATGAGCGGTAACAGCTTTTAAAGCGTCGCCTAGGGCCAATTTTGGGTATTATCGTTTTTTGAGGTTTCGCGCGCGCACGCAATTTTAAGGCTTGACATGTTTAGTGTCTTTTTACCCGACGTGACCCCATCTTTTATATTTTACCAAAAAATTGGGTAATAATAAATGTTTTATCATTTAATATAGGGGGAACTGTTTTTTTTTTTTTAATTTGGGTAATTTTATTATACTATATTTTTAATATAGTAAAAAATAAAACCCCCAGTGGTGAATAAATACCACCAAAAGAAAGCTCAGTGGTGAATAAATACCACCAAAAGAAAGCTCTATCTGTCCCCAAAAAAGGGTATAAAATTCATTTCAGTACAGCGCTGCATGACGGAATAAATGTCAGTCAAAGTACCGCAGCGCTGAATACTGAAAAATGGCCTGGATGGGAAGGGGGTTTAACACCGCGGATGTCAACTGGTTAAAGGAGAACTATGAGGTGATTGATTTCCACTCACCTCATAGTTCGAGCCGACCTGTGACAATGAGACTGTCACAGGTCGGCTCAGTAGATCGGGAAGTGAGCGAACACCTACCGGCGTTCGCTCACTTCTCGATCCTGTCCCAGCAGAGAGCCATGACTGTCACTCATCATGACTCCCTGCAGGAATCCCCCCTCTCCCCTGTCTGATCCTCCAGCGCTGACTGGCGGAACGGATGAGGGAGGGGGCGGGTACAGCTGGCTCTGCCTCTAGATAGGCAGAGCCAGTTGTCAATCACGCAGATGGGTGGATCTCGACAGTAATGTCGGGATCCGTCCCGGCTGCGGCGGTCTCAGTATACAGTGAGCGATCCAGTGGGGCCGGAAGGTACTGTGGCTGGTGTAAACTAACCCTTAGACCACATTCACACACACCGCGAGCAATATTGTATATTGCGTATATGCGCGCACTATTTGCATTCCCAGAATGCATCATTCCCGATAGAAATTTCAATGAACTGTACGCACGTACATACGCGTAAGCATGCGCGTAAAATATGCTGCCCGGACGCATCTTGGTTCCATTCTGTTTTTGCGCATGTTTACGCTACACAAATATATGGCTCCATACGCGGCTATGTGTATGGAGCCATTTATTTACATATGTTGCATATGGTACAATAGGCACGTGCGCGTGGTGTATGTGTGAATGAGGCCTTACTGTTACAATAAAAACCAGAAAGAGCAGAAAGTAAAATAGGCTTGTAAGGAAAATGAAGAAAAAAACCTCAACCTAACCACTGAACCATCACCGGCTCAAACAATTCATCCCCACACAGCTCCCTCCTCATGTATCACTGGCCCCTCCCTTTTAGATTGTAAGCCCTCAGGGGCAGGGCCCTCCTTACCATCTTGTCTTGAATTGTATTGTGATTGTAATGTCTTCCTTATATTGTAAAGCACTGGGCAAACTGTTGGCGCTATATCAATCCTGTATAATAATTATAATAATGATAATAAAACAACCACCAGCAAGGAATGATTTGACAACAGGTTGTCTGTATAATAAACATTGGAACGCTGCAGCTTACCTGATATTATACAGCGGCTGGGTTTGATGGACCACAACGTTACACTTCGGACATCTGTTGCTGTAGTAGAAATGCTTCACTATGCAGCTTTTGCAAACTGGAAAATAAAAATACATAGTCAGTGTACACTGTTCTCACCAGGGGAGTCCCCAAGCGTGGTGCCACCCCTCCGGTTCGTCATCATGTATGCGCCTTACGTCACGCGCGCTCACCTGCCGGCAGCCATCTAGGTGATGGACGCCGGCAAAGAGAGGTGGGGATGTTCACCCAGCGGGATAAGGTATGCTGCCGGTTCCCCTCCTCTCTCGTGTAACTGAGGAGGGCTCGGTCCATGACCAAGTGCCCGACTTTTCAGAGGACATTTGGTGTCACTCCCTCCAATGGTGTCACCCGCTGCGGGCCACGCCCCCCTTGTGACACCACTGGTTCTCACCGATGTGCAAGACAATAAAGAAAAGTGGTTAGTTATGTCAACCAGATTTTTAGGTTATTTCGAATGCTGATGAAATCCCTCACAATGGATGCGGCTCCTTGATGTTTAAAAAACTGTTAGTTTCCTGCAGAATCAGCCTGTTTGAATCATTTCCCTTGTGGGGTCCTATGGAGCCCCCCCTTGTTTGTGCTATAGTAAGCTGTGTGTTTCAACAAACACAGCAAGGCAAGCCATTCCCCTGCTCCTCCTTCCTTCTCCCTTTCCCAAGCTAGTAGATGGACAGCTACTGCAGGCTGCTCTGTCCCTTGTACTAGACAGGAAGTTCAAGGAAGCCAAGCTGAGAGAGTTGGAGCTGTTTGGAAACATGATGACTAAGGGCTTAGACCAAAATTGCCGGGCAATTGTATATGCGTTTGATCTGGATTCATTAATCGGAAAAAAACATCTAAATCACAGGCTCGGGGTATGGAGGGGACCTGGCTGTACTTCTGAACAGCAGCACAGAAAAGTCAGGTCAACAACCTGGCTGTGCTTTCTGGCAGAGCTGTGTAAAGCTCAGCATTGGATGGACAGAAATAATATTCCTCTGCAGGTAAAACAGCTCCCACATCGGTATTTGTGCTGCTGACAGACATGACAGGAGGCTGATAAACACAGATCCAATCTCATCATGCCCCTGTGCAGAATGTAAAAGAAATGGCTACAATAAAACATAACTGGACATTATAACCGCCTTGAAGGCCGGCGCATTGGTCATTGATTGGTCCGTGTCTGGCCTGTGAACTGCCCAGGTGTGATTGTGGATGTCTTGTGCACTCACATGTATGGAGACATTCTGTGATGGTTGTGGCATCGATGAAGTAACCTTTGCAGATGGAGCAGAGGATGCAAGGATTCACGGCAGCGAGGTTCACCAAGTACTGAAAGACAAAGACACAAGTAGTGATGATGATGAAGAAGAAGATGGCAGACGGGTTTGTTGTGCTTGCTGACAGCTGTGAAAACTGAGCAACAGCAGAACTTTTATCTGGAAATGTTTCCAGTATTTGTTTCATCAAAAGCTCTACACTCCATGTGATCAGAGCAGACCCTAATAACCACAGCAAACTTCATGTGATCAGACCAGTGAGTAAGCACCCTCCATGCAATGTGACCAGAGCAGTGAGTAAGCACTCTCCATGCAATGTGACCAGAGCAGTGAGTAAGCACTCTCCATGCAATGTGACCAGAGCAGTGAGTGAGCATCCACCCTCCATGTGACCAGAGCAGTGAGTAAGCACTCTCCATGCAATGTGACCAGAGCAGTGAGTGAGCATCCACCCTCCATGTGACCAGAGCAGTGAGTAAGCACCGCCCATGTGACCAGAGCAGCGAGTAAGCACCGCCCATGTGACCAGAGCAGCGAGTAAGCACCGCCCATGTGACCAGAGCAGCGAGTAAGCACCGCCCATGTGACCAGAACCCGAGCAGCGAGTAAGCCGCCCCCATGTGACCAGAGCAGCGAGTAAGCACCCTCCATGTGACCAGAGCAGCGAGTAAGCACCCTCCATGTGACCAAAGCAGCGAGTGAGCACCCTCCATGTGACCAAAGCAGCGAGTGAGCACCCTCCATGTGACCAAAGCAGCGAGTGAGCACCGCCCATGTGACCAAAGCAGTGAGTGAGCACCGACCATGTGACCAAAGCAGTGAGTGAGCACCCTCCAAGTGATCAGAGCCGCCTGTAGAGCCCATACAGGTGTCCGGGCGCCTCACCTCACTCCCCGTAATATACCGCTCTCCTCTTCTCTCCGCACACAGCGGACCCGGGGCTGTCACCGGCTCTTCCTCCTCCTCACACTTCACCGAGTTACCGAACTCCACTTCCATCCCGCCGCCGGCCACCGACACAGACACACGACGCGGGACTTTCCTATCGGCACAGTAATGCGCATGCGCCGCCCCGAGCAGGCCGGGAAGTGCAGTTCACTCAGCTCCCGATCAGCGGGCGAGTCCGGGCTGTGCGGGGCCGCGAGGACTGGGGGTCCCGGCATGCCTTGCGGCTCACCTGCTGCCGGGATGTGTAGTTCCTAGGGAGGGGAGGGCGGCAGAAGGGATTAAACTGAGAGCCTGTAAAGTGGTTCGGGGGGGGGGTCTGTGTCTGAGCTTCTCTTAACTGAATCGCTGAAAGCATGTCTCCTGTCTGTTATGGCCACACCTGCCCACTATGCTGCAGGAAGGGCTCAGGAATAAAATACTGGTATCTATGTTGGCATGACACAAGCATGTGTGAGGTTCCACAAAATGCTTCCATGTGGAAAGGTCCGGCAAACATGCATATCCGTACAATTCTTACATTTCTCTAGCTAAGGCCTCATGCACACTACGTCCCAAAACGCTGAGTTCAGCTGCGTTTGAAGCTCATTTCTAAACGCACCTGACTTGTGTAATGCAATTCTATGACTGAATGCACACCTAGGCCTGCAGCAGCGTCTATGTGCCTTCAGTCTAGGTCAGTTTACCCAAAATAGAAATATCTGCGTTCCGGGTTCGACTAGCCCAGTTTTATGTGGCTAAACGCGGGTCAACGCATGTAAACGCGTATAAGGCTGGGTTCACACTATTTTCCGGACCAGATCTGGAACACAGTGCATTGCATTTTTGCTGCCATTGGAATTAAAAAATATATATATATTTTCTTTCTTAGCTTAAAATGGTCTTACATGTGCGTTCCAGATGTTTTTTATGCAATGTTGGTGCATTCCAGACAAAATAGGATAAGCAGTATTTTTCTGGTCTGGTCTGGAATGGACTGCGCTGGTGGGAACACAGACCAGAAATAGCATAGGGATACATTGGGATGGAAAACAGTCTGGTCTGGAGGTAATCTGGATGTGGTGTGAATGGACCCTGAATGCGGTGATCTGGGAAGGATAACGTTGCCTATACTTACCAGATAACTTCTGTGGGGCCTAAACACAGCCTGCTGGTGTGCATGAGGCCTTGCTTTCCAAATGTACATGCGTTTAAATTAGGGATGCACTGATACTAGTATCGATATCGGTGCCGATACTAAGTATTTGGGCGAGTACTCGTACTCGCCCAAATGCTCCAATGCCTAGCCTGATACTTCCTGTCTTTACGCGCTGCCCGGTTTCCTGATTGGCCGGTAAGCGGCTCCATGCTCTCTCGTCACTTGTGATAAGAGAGCATGGAGCCGACTTCCCGGCCAATCAGGAAGTTGGGCGCCGTGTAATGACGCAGCGCCCGACATTCTGTTTGGCCGGAAAGCTGGCTTCATGCTCCCTCGTCATCTCATGACAAAGGAGCATGGAGCCGGCCTCCCGGCCAATCAGTTAGCAGGGCGTCGCATCATAACCCGGCTTCCTGATTTGCCGGCCAGACTGCTCCGGCTGGGTAACGGAGGAATGCCGCGTTCTGGCTGGAGAGGCCCCGGGGGTGACAGGCTGGACATACTAAGGTAAGAGGGGACAGACTTTCTTGTTAATCAGGAAGCCCGGGGGCGAGTCATTACACGCCACCTGGCTTCCTGAATGGGACTTCCGTTACTCTAATTGGTATCAGCGAGTACCGAAATTTTTTTATCGGTACTCGTACTCGGTACCAAAATACCGGTATCGGTGCATCCCTAGTTTAAATGCATCAACTGTGCAGAAATATGAACTTTCTACTTTGATTCCACGCAACTGAACGCAACATTACTGAGCACAACGCAACCATGTGAATGAGCCCGTAATATACAATACTGCTCTCTTCAGATCTATATGAGGGGAATTCATCCAAACTGGAGCAGCTGTACATGGCAACCAATCAGCTTCTCTGTTAAGTTAAGATTTGAAAATGAAAGAGAAGCTGATTGGTTGCCATGTACAGCTGCTCCAGATTTTGTCTGCTCCAGTTTTGATACATTCCCCTCACTGTATGCATCGGAAAGCATTTCTTACATCCGTCCGCAGTAAACTGATATTAAAGGAGAACTATGGGGTTAGGGCTTTTCCCCATAGTTCTCCTAAGGGTAACGGGAGGACACAAACTAGCGTCCTCCCGTTACCCTAAGCTCAGTATACCGCGAGCTACAGCTCGCGATATCCTGAGACGCCGCAGCTGAAGTGGGTCCCGACAATTATGTCTGGATCTGCCCAGCTGCATGAGTGACAGCTGGCTCTGCCTATCTAGAGCACAGCTGCTGCAGGCTGCTCTGTCTTGTTTTCTTATACTGGACAGGAAGTTCAGGAAAGCCGATCTGAGAGAGTTGGAGCTGTTTCCTAAACACGATGCCTGCAATTGCTTGGGCAAAAATGTAAAGAAATGCTTTGCTGGGCAATGAAAAAGCTGTGGGTTGGGAAAATGCCCCGGCAGCAGCTGATTGGGCCGGTACTGACAGCTTCCTTTTCCTTCTGAGTTCAAATGATTTTAGGATCAGTGTGAACCTAAGCTCATTCCTACTCATAACTTCATTAGCTTCCATTCCTCTGGACTACATGTCCAATCGTGTATAGCGCCAACGCACACGCATGGCTGACTTGTATTGTTGATGTGAGGATGCTGCTTGCGCCTGTAGTCCTCCCCGGGCATGCAAGCATGAGGAAAGGCCACAGTGCGGCACCATATGGCCCTGGAAGGGGAAGGAGCCACCCTAAGGACGGAATATGGGGCCAGCCACAGGGGACCAGCATAAACTTGAGCTGAGGAACATTCAAAAGAACAAGCGACATACATTGCAAATCTTAACACATGCATCAGAAATTGCTACTTTAATAGTAGGCTTTAGTGGAAAACATGGCAGCCTGTCTATATGCAGGTTCAGTTCATTAGTTAATAAATCACGTGCTATTTTCCATAACGATGGCCATTTTTCAGCTTGACTGTTATAGTCACTGCTAAAAATAACGATCGGTACGATAAATAAGAGTCGTTATGGAACTGCCATAAAGCGCACTGCCAGCACTGTCGCGCACAGGCTCCCGGAAGCCACTAGGGCGCCGCCCTCTCGAGCCGTAAAACGCGACGTCGTCAGGAATAAACTCCCGCTCCAAGATGGAGGCGGGGCCAGACG